CCTTCCTTCCTTCCTTCCTTCCTTCCTTCCTTCCTTCCTTCCTTCCTTCCTTCCTTCCTTCCTTCCTTCCTTCCTTCTCCATCACTGGAGGCTTTTAAGAAGAGACTGGACCGCCATTTGTCTGGAATGGTAGAGAGTCTCCCGCTTGAGCAGGGGGTTGGACTAGAAGACCTCCAAGGTCCCTTCCCACCCTGTGGCTCTATGTTCTAAACTGGCTCTCCAAACCAACACAGGTGGTCCTCAACATACGACCACAACTGAGCCCAACATTTCGGTTGCTAAGCGACACAGTTATTGAGTGAGTTTTGCCCCATTACACGACCTTCCAGTAAATCATTGCAGTTCAGTTAGTCACACGGTCATTAAGCGAATCCAGCTTCCCCCCTACGGACTTTGCTTGTCAGAAGGTCACAAAAGGGGATCACGTGACACACACACACACACCCCGGGGACGCTGCGACCGTCGTAAAGACGAGTCAGTGGCTAAGAGTCTGAAGTCTGATCACGTGGCTATGTGGGGACGCTGCAGCGTTGGTGTGAAAAAGGGCCCTAAGCCCCTTTTTTTCAGGGCCGTTGTAACTCCGAACGGTCACTAAACGAACTGTTGTAAGTCGAGGACTGCCTGTATTTTAAGATACTGGGGTTTTTTTTAACGCAGTCTTGTGCCCAGATTACCACTGGGTGTCAGTCTTGCCTTTCTTTGCTCCTTCTTGCTATGGCTAAGCTGTTGTCTCCTGTCTGGAAAGTCATTTCAAGGACAACAGCAGCTGAATACAAAAGGGATTGAAAAACAAAACAACAACAAAAACCCACCAAAACTCTCAGACCATCGCATCCCCAAGGTACAACACACACACACACACACACAAGCCGGCGGTTGAAATGGGAGCAATGGACAAAAACTGCCATTTTCTGTCTTTTTTTTTTTTTGCTTCTTCCAATGTCTGCTTTTATTCCGTCTGGCTAGCTGGGATAGTTTTCCGCCTGGCAAAGCAAGTTTGTTTTTTTCCCTTCTCCTCCTGGGATTTCGGCTTTTTTGCATTCTCTCTTCGTTGCCTGGATTTTAAACGGGGGAAGACTTTGCAAGCCCAGACAGTTTGTTGGTATTTAGGGCAGGCTGTGACACAGCGCCCAAGCGACGCGAAGGGTGCATTTTAAAAGAATTGCTCAGCAGAAGGACGTTGAGAGAGAGAGAGACCGAAGTAGGATATGTAGATTTGAGGTGGCCATTTTTCAGTGGGTTTGTTTGTCCCGGTCCTTTCGGAGGCTGGTGTGGTTTGCAGGCTGCCCTAAGCAGTCTTAAGGAGACCCCCTCACCTATTTGCCATTCCACGCTGAAGGTGCTGCGAAGCACACACAGGACCTGTGGGAGTCACGCCGGTCAACAATGCTGTGTGGAATAAAAGGTGCCGTTCCCCAAAGAAGCAAAACACATCAGCCTCAACCACTAACCCAGTCAAATATATATATATTTTTCCCCGGTGGGTCATGTAGCACACGGTTTTCTCAGCCTCGGCAGCTTTCAGATGGGTGGACTTCAGTTCCCAGAATTCCCTAGTCACCAGGGGTAACTTCAACTCCCAGAATGCCCCAGCCAGCTTGCTTTAAGAGGGGTGGGCTTCAACTCCCAGAATTCCTCAGCCAGCTTGCTTTAAGAGGGGTGGGCTTCAACTCTCAGAATTCCCCAGCCAGCCTGCTTTAAGAGGGGTGGGCNGAGGACTGTGGGGTCCTTGGTGCTCTCTGAGCTTGGTGGTTTTCTTGCAGATGTTTCATGACCCAACTAGGGAACATCATCAGTGCTAGAAGGGAGTGGGGAGCAGGAGGAGGAGGAGGAGGAGGAGGAGGAGGAGGAGGAGGAGGAGGACTGTGGGGTCCTTGGTGCTCTCTGAGCTGGGTGGTTTTCTTGCAGATATTTCATGACCCAACTAGGTAACATCATCAGTTAGAAGGGTTTGGGGTTTACAAGGAGGAGGAGGAGGAAGAGGAGGAGGAGGAGGAGGAGGAGGAGGAGGACTGTGGAGTCCTTAGTGCTCTCTGAGCTTGGTGGTTTTCTTGGAGACATTTTATGACCCAACTAAGTAACCTCATCAACGCTAGAAACGAGTGGGATTTTCTGTCTGCAAGCAAGCTACTTGTATATAAACAGAGAGCAAACCCCACTCCCTTCCAGCATTGATAATATTACCTAGTTGGGTAATGAAACGTCTACAAGAAAACAACCAAGCTGAGGGACCACCAAAGATCCCACATATTGAAACAATATATTGAGGTCTTTCTTTCAAACATCTTGCTTCCTGCTGAGGAATATTCAGTAGAAAAGCTGGGTTTGCCTAGGCCGAGAACGTGGGCAATCAGCCTGATTTTATTTATAACTTTCTGCTTCTCCCAGCCCAGCTCGTTCACAGTAAAAATAGCACCACCTCAGAGCTGCCGCTGGACCTTCTGCTAGGCTCCCATGGCTGTAAGCATCCGAGGCCACTCAGGCCATATTTTATGTGCCGGGCACTAAGAGGGAAAGCGTCAGAAATTACTTACCGGAGGACATGTGGAGGCCCAGCTCGTCTGCCCCGTGGCGCAACGCATACGAGAGAGCTTTGGACAGGCGAACATCTGGATCCTGGAATGAAAGTTTGGAGAGAAACTCAGACTGGCGAGAAGGAATGGAAAACAGTCGAAGAAGCTGGAGAATGGGATGGAGGAGGAGGAGGAGGAGAGGGAGAGGAGGGGGAG